GTCTGGAGAGGGGACATGTGGGTGGAAACACTTGACTGGACCGGTAGCGGACTAATAGACAGACAGACTTATGTCAGGATTAGGGGGTGTTGCTAACCGGAAGGAGTCGCAACACTCATGGCTTCCAACTGACAGGACTTCCTTTTCCCACTGTACATCCTCCCATCCTTCAACTACTTTTTCATTGCACTTAGCATAACTAGGCATGCCTACAAAGTTTTTGCTGATGTGGGTGTAGGAAAGGTGAATGGGAACGACCCTCCCATCCGAAGAGCTAGGTGGGGCCCGCCACCATGCCTATGCGCCACCTCGCCTTCACCGAACAGTAGTGATATGTTGAATTGTCGGTACCCAATACTTGGTACCCAACTTCAAAAAGATTTCGGTGCCCAATACTTCCTTTTCGGTACCCAATGCCGATTCTAGACATGTATTAAACCTTCGCCATAATATAAATTTCAAGCTAATATAAAAAAAAAAATATTGCTATTTTAAATGATCTCGACACTTAATTTAGTTACAACTTTTTGACATAATTTTCAACAAAATATCTGTAAAAAAAAGCTGCATCGACTATGAATATACTTCACAATTAGTACGATTAAGACGATGCTTGCCCAAAAGTTGAACAATATGCATTGAAGGACAAAACCAGGAAGAAATTCTGTGCACAGAGGTGATGGAAAATGCATATATATTTTCATTTGAATCTTTATTAAAAGCTCTATTAGCCCCCAAACTTGACTTTTGAGATACTAGGTTTCCTTGAATCGCTTTTATTCCATATCTTTGGTCTATGTGCATTCTTATTAGAAGCCTAACCATTACGGTATCGAGTATCGAAAGTATTGGATACTTTTTAAATCGGTACCGATTCAGCACACCACTACCGAACATTTCTAATTTTCTTAATTTTCTCATATTTTTGGTCAGTAACTAATTTCCTTTTCAGCATTCTTCTACTTTTCATCTTCTCGTATTGTGCCTTCCTTTTTACTGGCTTACTCTTTACTTTTAACGTTTCGGTCGGATTAGGGTCTAGGCGGCACCATCACTTCGTTCTAGTAAAAGTGATAAGTGCCCGACTGACAAATGACAAAACGTGGGGGAGTACCCTTTATACTTTTGGAGTACCTCTTGCTAGATTCAATACTGATACGAATGGTATCCAAGAGCGGAATTGGTACAACTAGGAGACGTTAATAGACGATTGTGTATGCATCCGTTGGAGCTACCGCTGATGCAATCCAGCAGATGGCCACCACGTTTGGGAAAAGTATCCTGAACGTAGATGCGCTTCACCATACTGTTCGTACGAAGGGGTTCTAGTTGACCTGTACGCCCGACCGAAGATATACTAACATAACGCTCACATAATGAAACAAAACCTCACAAAAAGAAAGGATACATCTACACATATTCATACACGTACCTATTTGTACATGCATGTTGTATAAAAATAAATAAATACAAAATTTCAAAATCAAAAAAACATTTTTGAATTTGCCAAACAGAATAAATCACCCTTTGGAATATCCTTAATATCCGGTTTTTTGCTTAGTTATTTTATATACATATGTAAGTACATACAATAATACAAAATATTTTGTTTGGGAGACAACAATTTATTTTACATATAATCACACTTTTTAACAACAAGCCTATGGTAGGCCAATGGGTAACCAATTATCTCCGAACATAGCAGATATTTTACTTGACAAAATATTAGGGGGCCAAGGGTTCTCTTGCGAGTGGCTTAATTTTTCCTTGGACTCATCTGGTCACTCTAAGAAATAACATTCTCTTTCTTTTAATCAATTTCAAGGAATTTTATCGTGCATATTTTTATTGAGCATATTTGGGCAGCGTTTTACCAGATTTATTTAAGGTGGATTCGTCGTTTTAGTTCTGAACTAAAGTTGAAGTTGAGTTCAAAACTCAAAAGCGTTCAGAACTTTTTTCAGTTGCTCTCCCAGAGAGAAAAACACAACAATAACCACATGGAAGAAGAGTTCTGAACCAGTCGTGGGCACTACCACCAGCGTTGCCAAGTTGACGTTTTTAAAGTCATTTGGTCGTTTTTTGTATCCTGTTGACGTTCGGACGTTTTTTGTGTAAAAAATTACGTTTTTAACTTCCCAGTAATTTTTCTCTGTTACTAAATCTTGTAAGTAGAACTAATTTTGAATTATTTTCTTAACAAATCTTTACAAGCATTTCTTCGCAGCACTTTTCTACAAAAGATATTTATTCTTTGGACAGAGAGGACTTAACTATGATGCAAACCAAGCGCACGCGCATTTTTTTGGATTCTTGGACTAAGGATCCCGCGTTCAAAGGCTGGTTTTGTAAACACTTGAGGTTACGAGGCTTATTGCAATGTTTGCAATTACAAATTAAAAGCCAAATCAGGAAGAGCTGATCTATTGCAACACGCATGCTAGCAAAAGCACCAAAAAAGCTGTAGCAGCATAAAAAGTCAGAAAAAAGTAGGCGACTTTTTTAAGACTGCCGTGAAAATGTAATGAACGCAAGAACGATATATGAAATATTGCTATGTTCCTTCTTACAGACTGTAATTTAGCATTTTCGACAACCGATTACCTAACCAAATGCTACAAGAAAAAGAATTACTAAAAATCAACGCGATTCCTTAGCAACTTAAAACTTGCACATTATTACCTTGGAATTTAATAGGCTTGATAGCATACTCAAAAAAATTCCTAAAAATCTGAATAAAAAGGAGAAAATCTAGCAGAAATTTTGCAGATTTTTTATAATTTTTGCAAAAAGTTTGAAATGTGGATTTATATTTTTTTGTTATATAAAAAGCTAGGCTTTTATGGAAAAATAATAAACATTAAATAAACAAAAACAGCCACAATCGATCAAAATGTTGATGACTTAATCAGCTGATCACAAGTGTATGTATAAAATTATTTTTATATAACGATCTCAAAGCAGTTTACAATGAATTTTAAATGTGCTCTGTCGAAATGATATTTTAATATACCTTACGTAAATACGTATGTACCTTTGTATGCAATAAAAGTTTAATAAGAGCAATTCTCTGTGCATACATTTGAAAAAGACGTTTTTGGGTAGGAAATGACGTTTTTTCAGACCAAAAGGGACGTTTTTTCATGCCGAAGACCTGGCAACACTGCCTACCACAAACAAGCGTTAGCTAAAAGTGAGAAATGTGTTGGTGTGCGTAATTACCCTGCAGGGAAAGCTACCAGTTGTGAACCAGAATGCTACCAGTTTGCGTTTCAGCCCAACTAGTTCACGTTGTATCCTTTTTCAATGTTAGCGACTGGTATTTTTAACATGGCGGTGTCATAGGAGATGTCAATTGTCCGCTCCTGCATCAGCACGCTACCAGTAGAAATACTAGTAGCGTTATATCAGTTGACGGGATAGACTGCCTATTCATCCCCCGTGAAAAGCATAAGTATGTCATTTTGCTCGCGGCGCTGCAACAGTGGCAATGGTCGACAGAGTAAAGCTTTGGCACGCCAAATCAAGAGATCCGAGTTCGAATCTCAGTGGGTGATTTTTTTTTATTTTTGCTTTTTTTATTTGGTTTTTTTTTATTTATATCTCTTGTGTAATTTTTAAATTTACTGTTTTAAAAAGAACAAAAAATGATTTATTTTCATTTTTTATGGTATTTGAGTATTTAGGTTTTTTCCAAATCAAATTAAATTTATGTACTGTATTTTTATTTTATATTTAAATTGAAATAAATATTTAAATTAATTTACTTACTTTACTTTAACAACCTCCACGCGCACTCGAACCTGAGATCTCAGAACCAGAATCGGTAGTCTTCACTCGACGACACAGCCGACATTTGTAATGAAAGCAATTAACCACGTTTTAGTTTTGGTTATGCCTATTCAAAGACAGATGTGGCTGATCACATAAGTTGTTCGAAATAGCCGAAATGGTAGGCCGTCGCTTTAGCACATACTGGTTAATGAACTAGAATTTATACTGGCTGGTTTGGCATTTCACTGCGGAGAACTGGTATAGTTATAGTCCATGACGAACTGGTATGACTCTCCCATTTAATACCAGTTTTCGAACTAGAATTTCTACCAACTAGCTTACTTTTTTCTGCGCGGAACTAGTATAATTATGGTTCCTAACGAACTGGTATGACTGTTATCCTTAAATAATAGTTCATGAACTGGAATTTGTGCATACTGGTTTAGCTTTTCACTGCAGGGTAATTATGCATGTTGTCGTGTCGTGTTCCCATCGTTACGCTCTTGCCTGTAAACGTACACGGTTATGCTCTTTGAGCGTTTGCTCGTTCTCTGCCCATGCCTGTTCTTATCTCTTCTCCTTTTCGAATTATTGGTTTCACCAGTCAGTTTTAATTTGTTTTTAATTTTATTTAAGTGACGTATGCTCTTACTTAAATAAATATTAAATCCGAATAGCCACAATCAGAGATATTATATGGCTGATCGTCTAATCAATATACACAAACCGCAATATTGTGTATCAGCTGATTACTTGTATACCAGCCCTGTTTTTACTACTACTTTTAGTACGGTGCTGCAATATTTTTACTCACTTAAATAAAAAGCTTATTGAAACTGAAAAATCCCAACTAGAATTAGATAAAAAATTAAATTTAAAATAATTTCTACTTAAATGAATCTGGCGAAACGCAACCTTGGTTGTTTTTAGTGGTTATTTTAAGCACCTTTAGCGGAATATTTCGCGCATATTTTTATCTTCTCTAGTATTGAAATAAATTCGATTGTAATAAAATTCGTGTGTTTTATGAAAAGTATACTTTAGCGCTGTCAACTAACATGTTGATATAATATTTATTATGTAAGATGGTTGAATCACCGATAATGACAAATGTGTATGGAAATGTTTAAAAACTGTCATCAACATCTCGGTTTAAACGGACATTGTATTGTGTTTTACAAATGTTTGAGGGCAGAAATTTTTAAAGGTATTTTGAAACCGTCAATCTAAATCCAGTGGGTTAATTGCATTGTCCCATCAATTTTTTTTTGTGTATCCATTACACTCATTTGACGCATTAAACGCTTTATTGAGGTCCCTTGTGGCTGTGTGTTTCCAACTTCTTCACCGGTCTGTATTTTAGCCTCCTTAAGCACTTTTGCTTGCAGAAGATCCAAATCTTCGTACGACTCAATATGTGATATTGTTTTTCTGAAATTTGTTATTTTGCTTTTAAAAAGAACTCAAGTTTTTTAATATTTACTTAACTGTTTAGAATAGCAGCGCACACAATTCTCAAGTGACCATTCTTTACCAAAATTTTCCCCCTCTTCAAGCGTTTGCGGTAAGCGTTCATGAAGTGTTTCAGGTAACCTTAAACTGGTTAGCCCCCCGATCATTGATATTATCCCCATTATAACAAGAGGCAGTTTTAAGTTATCTTTCCCCTAAAATAGGAAATTGAAATTAGTAATTTCTGCGAGAGTGTACAACTAACTTTTTATTGTAGATTAATTACCACCAAATATTCTTCACTTTTGACTAGCTTAGCTCCCCCGGGCACCGTCAGTTTCAGTTACGAATGCGAATTACAATCTTCGTATAGAAGATTCTTAATTAAATTTAACAGTTAGATTTTGTGTCTTTCTTTGACTTCACTCCTCTGTTTTGGTTGTTTATTCTTCCTTTACTTTAACAACAGAAATGCAAAATTAGTTAATTCAACTATTTATCTTTGATTCGCATGGTAATTAGTTAATTCAACTATTTATCTTTGATTCGCATGGTAATTGAATCTGAATTGGTCACAAATAAAGTAATTATATTAAAAAACTGTCAAGTCCGAATAACAAATTAGTTTGAAAACAATTACCAATTTGGGTAAAAGTTGCCGTGGGAGCGTAATGTCTCTTTTAGACAAATAAGTGCATTACTTAAATCGGAAACATTAGGCGTGTTTTTTTACACGCATACGCATGATACATAAAAGAAGGTAGTTCCATTTTCACTTTTTTGTCGCCATATTAACAACCTGACAATTAAGCAGATTGTGACATTTCGTGCTACCATACCAAATATCTAAAATCCTTCAAATTTTATTATTAACTTTTTGTTTATTTAAAAATCATTTTGTTCTAAGAATCGAAATTTGAACAAGCAAAAGGTATTTTGTTGGGTACGGTTCGGTTATTTGCACAATAATTTTGGGTTATTGTTTCCAAACGCGTAACCCGAATCAATAAATTTTAATTTACGCGTGTGGTCAAACGACTAAACGCTAGTTTTACATAAAGATTTCAAACTTTCGAATAAAAATTTATTAATAAATTCGTGTTGAAATATGGACTTATTTGTAAAAGATACTGGGGCCAGCGTAGCCGGAGTTGGACTGATGAGGGTTATTTTTTCTAAGCGCGGCCGAGACTTACAAACGCAGAAAGGTATTTGCGCAAAAATCCTGTGATTGGCGAAACCCGAGTCTACATTTTCTCTATCAAAATGCTACTTTTATCCCATTTTCCAATAGATCCCTAGGGGTCTGCAGAGTGGTCGGAGAAGGAAAGGGTGATTTTTCTTAAAGTTTGACCGTTCTCTTTCTAATGGGTGCGGTTTTATGTGCCACACCCCATCCGCATCCGCTCCCCATTTTGGAGATTATGCATTAATTTCCAGGTTCATCATATTCGACATCTTTGAGTGGACTGATGAAATCTTCTGCTTAAAAGAAAATATTACTACTCGTGATCAGGTAGCATGAATTTAATGAAATGTCATAATTTTATTAAAAGTCAAAGGCTAACAACAACAACGAATGTCTATATTGTGAAATAATCAGATGACATAAGGACACTAAAAAAATGTAAAATATCGCCGGTGATACTGCAAATCGCTCTATGTCTATTAGTACCCTTGACACTTGGATGGTCTTTTACTTGCACCGGAATGCATCTGCAAATCGCTACACCCTAACAAACGAATGACGAAACTGTCTACCTTTGGCTGACGAAGATGAACGATTGCCAGAAGCGACCAGATACAGATCAGTTAAGCACCAGAGGTAATAAGTGACATAGAACGTTTTGCAGTATCACCGAGGATATGTTCACTAAAATTTTATCAATCTAAAAATAATGATTTTGGAGAGTGGTTATCGAATTTAATGTGAAATTTAAACATTTTTAAGATAAGATGATAATTATTTTTAAAAGGTAAAGGTTGATACATCTTTTATATTTATTTAAAACCCCAAATGTATGATATAAAATCCCCTACACCAAAAAATTTAAATTGGGTAACGTCGTTTCGAATTTTTCACAATTGAGCAAATGTCAGAAATCTGCTTTTTAATCAAAAAGTTGTTTATTGAAACTACCTTCTTTTTTGTATCATGCGCATACGTATCTGCGCTTAAAATTTGTTTGGAGCTGTTAGCGACAAACTTTATGTGCCCTTATGAATAATTGTCGATAAAATCAAAATTACTTGTTGTTAAATTGAAATTGCCGATGATTGTTTTTTTTGCACATTAAGAGTAGATGCGTGTAAAAAAACACCTATAATCAAGCGTTCATATATATTTCTGCCAAAAAAGTAACACAGGAAAAATACAATGTAAAATTTAAATATACAAGTAAAATGTATTTCTAAAACAAGGAATACATAGAAGAAAAAATATAATACTTGTTCTTAATAAGGTTTGTTAAGGGAAATGTGTTGATGACAAAGTGAAATTGGTACAATATTACTTAAATAAACTAACGAACGGTGATGGCTGAAGTGTTTCACATGATTTTTTGTTTTAACTTTGTTTGGAATGGAATAAAGGTTTCAAAATATCATGATTATTCGACTGCTATGCGGTACACGACTTTCTTTCTTTGCCTATCAGTAAATACGAGTATAGAGGGCCAAAGGCTTACAAATGCGAGAGCACACAACGTACAGTTGGCTGTTAGAAAAGAATGGTGACTCCGAATTGATTTTGCACACTAGAGAGAGAGGTTTTGGGTTTCGGTCTACTATCGACAGTTTTTAACACTATCGATACTATCGGAAAATTACCACTCTTAGTTTTAAGTCATTTTCCAAGCGGTAACAATATTGTGGCTAATAAATTTATTATACGGGTAAGTATTTTGAGAATAAAATAATATATTTTCTAAAGTTTTCCGTTAAAATATATCAATTTATAGTTATAGTGTATTTTGAAAAACACCCCCAAATATTGGCAAAAACAAATGGTTATTGTGATTTTTAAAATAACTGATCCCTTCATAAAACAAAAGCAGCCATAAATTTGTCAAATATTTTTCGTGTTTGAAACATTGATTATTCTATGTTATATAACAAAAATGGATTACTTATAATATGTATACATACAAGTTTAAAACTAATGGCCTTATTCATAAAAAATATAGTAGGTTTAAAGAGCTTTATAAATTGACGTTTTCATAAATTTTTCAATATATACACCTTTTATAAAGCTACTTTATTTTTTATGAATAAGGCCATAAGTTTCTTGGTGAAATAATAAAAATTTGTTTCCAGTTTTTGAAAATAATATTCGGCGCTTTTATGGTTGTCGATGTCGACGTCGATGTCATTTTTACAACAAAAAAATAGCCCTTGTGGGTCCTACTCCAGCTACGCCGACCACTGTATTTTTGAGGAAAGATGTTCCTCGCAAAAATTCTGTGTGTGAGTTAGGCGACTTACGGAAGGTTTCAAGACCAGGACGAACTGCTGTAAGAACAATGGCGATCTGGTGACCGATGTCCAGAAAGTACATAAATTATGGAGGGAACAGTTTTCCACCCTAGTGAATGGTAGCAGCACGGAAAGTTGTGGAGAAAAAAACCGAGCCCGCAGTCGATGATGATGAGCAATTACGCAGCTGTTTGGATGTTCCCGAGTTAGAATACGTGAAGTTTGAAACCGTGGCAAGTGCCGATTTCAAAAACGGTAACTTTTTGATTTTCAGGTAGGTTTTCGATAAGGTTCTAGATGAATGATTATATGTATTTACATATCGAGCCCCAACCGCCAAAATAACATAAGCGACATTTTTTTCAAAATTCTCTTTTTGATGCAGAAATATTCCTAGAGCTTCTAGATGCNAGAATACGTGAAGTTTGAAACCGTGGCAAGTGCCGATTTCAAAAACGGTAACTTTTTGATTTTCAGGTAGGTTTTCGATAAGGTTCTAGATGAATGATTATATGTATTTACATATCGAGCCCCAACCGCCAAAATAACANCCGATTTCAAAAACGGTAGCTTTTCGATTTTCAGGTAGGTTTTCGATAAGGTTCTAGATGAATGATTATATGTATTTACATATATAAAAATCGATTGTATACATATTTATACATACTTACTAGTGTTCGCCGAGCGGTTGAAATTCAACCGCTAAAATTAAGTATAGATTATGTGAGTAGAGTTGAGGTAAAATAACATTAGTTGGAAAGGGTTAAGTGGAGGGGAGTTTAGCTTAGTACTTAGCATATCATAATATTTCATAGCATAACATGACATACCATAAGATTAAATAACATAACATATGTAGCATAACACACCATAACATAACATCGCACATTCTTCAGTTGTATCTCCTTTTTTATCCCTATCACATTCTTCCTCTCTATCTTTGTCACTATCGTTATTTAAGTTAATGTTATTTAAGGTTATGTTTATGATCTTCATCTTCATCTCCATCTTCATCTTCATCTTCATCTTCATCTTCATCTTCATCTTCATCTTCATCTTCATCTTCATCTTCATCTTCATCTTCATCTTCATCTTCATTGTAATAAAATGACAAGAAATGTGTTGTGGCGCAGTCGAGCGCTTATCAAATATTGATGGCTCTTATTAATTATTTCTTTCCTAATTCATACAAATTTAAACTTAATTAATTCTATGTTTTCTTATTTACTATAATACATATTTATTATACTTCTTACATACTAGTCTTACAAACACATGCATGTGCAGCCAAACACTTATGCACATACATCTGCACATTGGCTTAGCTTAGCAAAATATGCTTATGGGAGAATGCAGTGTAAGCAGAAATCAAGCATTCAATAATATATGGTGTGAACCACAATTTGTTTGCATTAGCGACAAAATAAGTTTAATGCACTTTTGGCGCGTTATGTAGATATGGATTTCTGATACACTACACCTCCTCTCTTTAAAAGAATGCTTATACATTTGTGAGCAGGGATGATAAATAGGTTTTTGAATTTTGTACCAAATGGCCAAAAAAAATACTAAATCAGCCGAAAAAGTAGCAACATTTAAAATACCATACATACATATAAACACATATGTTTTTAAATTAGGTAAATATCTCTATTGGTACGTGCATTTAACATCTCCAGTAAAACATGTCCATCAACAAAATTTCCGTGAAATG